AACGGCAAAAGGGCCTACAACACACACCAGCCGACAAATATTAACATTTATTATATTTTATAGTTAACTTTTTTTTCCTTTTCAAGATTGACAGGGGAGGCTCTGCCTCACCTGCCTCCCCTGACTGCACGTCACTGATATTCATCCCCTTTAAAATGACTGACCTAATTCAACAGAGGTCCAATCAATTGGTGCTAGTAGTCTCACAATTAGTGAAATGGGGATCACCTGAGTGCACTGAATGTGTCTCAAGTGAATGTAGTATAAAGACACCTTTGTCTGGAAGGTCCAGTCACTGGTGAATCAGTATTCCTAGCTACCATTACACCATGAAGACAAAAAGAATACTCCAAGCAACTCAGAGAAAAGGCTGAAAAGTATAAGTTAGGGAATGGATACAGAAACACTTCCAAGGCACTGAACATCCCCCAGAGTTCAGTTACATCCATCATTAGGAAATAGAAGGAATATGGCACATGTCTCAATCTGCCTAGATTAAGTTGTCCTCACAAACTGAGTGACTGTGCAAGAAGGAGACTAGTGAGACAGGCCACCAAGACACCTGTGACTACTCTGAAGGAGTTACAAGCTTCAGCAGCTGAGATGGGAGCGACTCTGCATACAACAATTGTTGCCTGGGTTCTTCACCAGTCAGAGCTTCATGGGAGTGTAGCAGAAAGAAAGCCACTACTGAAGACAACTCATTAAATCTCGACTAGAGTTCACCAACAAGCATGTGGGAGACTCCATGGTCAAATGGAAGAAAGTTCTTTGGCCTGATGAGACTAAAATGGTGCTTTTTGGCCATCAGATAAGGCACTATGTTTGGTGGACACCAAACACTACACATCACCACAAACACACCATGCACGGAGGTGGCAGCATCGTGCAGTGAGGATGCTTCTCAGCAGCCAACCTTGTAAGGCTTGTAAAGGTAGGTCAAATGAATGTGGCACAATATAGGAAAATCCTGGAGGACAATCTGATTCAGCCTGCAAGAGAGCTACAGCTTGGGAGAAGATTTAGTTTCCAGCAAGACAATGACCCGAAGCATACAGTGAAAGCTACACAGAAATGGTTTAAAGACAACAAGGTGAGTGTTGTGGAGTGGCCGAATCAAAGCCCACACTTCAATCTGATAGAGAATTTGTGGCTGGGCTTGAAAAGGGCTGTTCACGCCCAATTGCTGCGCAACCTGGCAGAGCTTGAGCAGTTTTTTAAAGAATGAAGTAAAATTGCAGTGTCCAGATGTGCAAGCCTGACTGAGAACTATCCACACAGACTCAGTGCTGTGATTGCAGCCAAAAGTGCATCTACTAAATACTGACTTGAAGAGGGTGAATATTTATGCAGTTATTTATTTCCCATTACATGTTTTGAGTTTTTTTCTTTTATTTGTTTTGTTAAAAAAGCCAAATTATATTGACCATGATTGATTTATAACATCAATAAAGAGGTAAAACATTCAAAGGGATGAATACTTTTTATAGGCGCTGTACACAGAAAAAGAATGAGCAAAACAATCCAACACTCTTCTCTATTTTCATGATTTGTGGAGAAAACACCATCTATTAAATCAGATTAAATCAACAAAGATGATTCAATACCATTTTTGATGATCTTGATTGCAACATTAATATGGTTTTTCCAGAGTCCCCGGTAGACATCAGCAAAGTAGCCAGTGCCCAGCTCCTCCTCCAGGGTGAACTCTTCTTTCGGGAGTTCCCACTCATCCAAGTTACCTAAATCTGGGGTGCTGGGCTTAACCTGATGGAGAAAAGTTTATTTTTAACACAAATGCTCTATTTACATTCTTATCCACACAGGATTTAAATGGGTATTGTGTGTACCTGTCCCACTTTTTGAATATTTTCCATCACTAGTTCAATCTCAGAATCACTGAAACATTTGGAATTATGAAACTGAAAAATATTTTTTCAAATTCACATCTCATGTACATACTGGGCACGAAGAGGTGCCTTCCTAATATATTCCCACAGCATGCTTTGGGCAAAGTTTCAGTTTCAGAAGATACTCTGAGGCTTGAGTGGTCTATATTTTCCAAATGTAGTCTTAATACCAAGTCTCTCTTTGTGTTACTTCATCTGCAGTTTTCATCTCTTCAGCAGATGTTTAATATGCTTCACACATATCCATGTTGTGACTTATTGCAAAATGTATCTTCATCTTTTTCTGTCACTTTTTGCTTTTATCAGCACACCCATGTTTCAGCCTCAACCAATCATAAAGAAACCTTAGACTGAGAGCCCTAAAAACTAGAACCAGCCTCAATCTTCTTAGCTTCTCTCCCCAGGCCATTCACTTTTTAAATAATGATCCTGTCATCCCTCTGCTTTAAGTAGCGGTACACGCACTCCGTTATCCACAGTGCAATACACACCATGTCCTTCCCTTGACATAATCCCTTCTCTATGAAAGTTATACTGTTTTCGTATTAGGCGTATTGTAGTGGGTGCATATATGCACTTTAAATTTTGTTCATCCTAGCCATAATTATTTAATTTATTAGGTTTTGCAAGCTTGTAGCCCTTATGCACTTTGTTTTTGATATTTGTAATATATGTGATTATATTATGTGGACACCAGCACCAAGACACATTCCTTGTATGCTTAGTACTTGGCGGATAAAGATTTTGATTGTGATTGATGATTTCATGAAAAATTCTTTGTTCAGGCTCAGATACAAAACAGAGCACTTTTCCAAACACAAGGAAGCAAACTGTTTTACCACGCTTTAGCAGCAACAAGCAGCAACTGCTTTTTAGATGTCACTATTTAATGTCCACACTTCTTGTTTTCACTTGACCATAATAAAGAGGCACACACACACATGAAGAAGAAAACAGAAAAACACAACCACAACCAACAGAGCTTACCCTCTTGCAGGGGTGTCTCAGTCTTCCCACAGTGCTCAGGCTGTTGGCATAGTAGTACTCCACCAGGTTAATAAAAGAGCTGAAGTGCTGATTGGGCTCCACATTAATATTATTCTGATCATCTTGGTGGATTTTAAAATGCCTCACCCGACTGCCTAACCTCACTGCAGAAAGATTCATAGAAGCAAAAGTAGTTAGAAAATTAAACACAAACATTCTGCCACGAGGTACATTTTCCTTCTTAGCACGTCATTATTACCAAAATATTTTAGTTCAGAAAAGTAAAATACAGAGAGATTTTACACAGTCTAACAGGGGCTTAGTCTCACTGTAATGCTGTTAAATTAACATTCTAAATTATTATAACTATTGCTTTCTACTTGAATTGCCATTAAAGGTAGCCCAAATGCTTAGTTTAAATTAAGAGTTAGGATTTAGGAAGGTTTTATTTTTGCATTAACAATATTTTGATCATTGATGATCATTTCTGATTAGTTTTCTGCTCTTCCTCCTGAGTAAGGTGGTTTGTTGGAACTGCTCTGCTTATCTGACAACTGGTGTATTCCCTGAAGAAGGAGACCCATCCATTATTCCCTGTCAGTCTTTATTGTAGCAAAGTCACTGTGAGTTTAGCAAATATGAAATAAAAAAAAAGTGAGTACAGTGTTATCTGACTAAAAGAAATATTAGCAAGAATTATGAAAATAAAATAAAATTGTAATAAAATCAACAATTTACTTTAAGGAATTCTTTAAGGCATTGAAATATAAAAATTTATTTTCTATAGGCTCTGGAGCACATTCCTTTTGCTTGTTTGCACATTACTTTCTTTACTTTCTGTTCTCTCAGCCTTATATTGTTTACTTGCCCCTTGCTGCCTTACATAAGGACATGTACGTACGCAGTGAGAGCTGCTGTACCAGAGTGAAATTCCTCATGTTTCCAACACACCTGGCCAATAAAGCTGATTCTGATTCTCTCTTTCTGAACCCACTAATCTTCTTTTTGGGCTTCATTAATCACCCCTTGCTTTCTTGACTTGCCTGAAAGAACATGTCCAACGTTGTCTTTCTCACTGTGTCGGATGAGGAAAGCTCCATCTTCATTTTCTGGGACCAGCAGGTGGCTTTGAGCCTCAAAGCGATTCATTGTCCCAAAATACCATCTGGATGAAAACAGACATACTTAAATGGTTACATGGTTTCAAACTACATCAGTAACTCAATCTGTAATGCAGGATGTAATGATGCGCTATATTTATGTATATAAATGGTAGAAAATGTTAAAATTACATTCTGAAATTATGTTAAAAACAATCTAAAGTGCATACAGCCATCAACATCTGCAGTTTATATTGTGGTGGTGTTAAACTTTTTTATGGTGCTTCCACTCTCCATGACAGCATCTAATATGACAAACATATAGAAAAGCCTGTGCCTGTGAACATCCAGGACAAAGTTTTCTAAAAGATGAGGATGGCTTCATTTTTAAGGTATAACCAAGCACCGATCTCTGAGGCTGAGAAAAAAAATAAATGCGGAAGTGTTAAAACTTTCTGTTCCTTGAATCGCCACATGAGGCTGGCTTCAAAAGAGAGTCAATCCCTATATACTGCCATGTTAAAATGCCTAACTTTACAGCAGAAATAAACATTTTTGAATTCTTACAAAAATGACCCTTTTAAATGATATTAAAACAAAAGGTTACACATAATTAAGGGCATGACCACTTTGAGTGACAGACGGGAGGGTCCCACCACAGGTGGCTAGCTGCTAGCTGTCTAGAAAGGTCTACTCGCGTTCCACCTCTTTGCTTACACATAGTAGGTGGAGTGAAGCAACAAAAACAGTTTTGTCACTTAGTATTTCTTTAATATTTTCCCCATTGTTTTACAAAGCACTATGGCCTTTAAAATGAAAAAAACACTAGACTAAAAATTACAGCAAGCAATTAATTGTTTGTTTTTAGAGTTTTAAAATTAATTAAACTTTTACAGAGTGATTATTTGTAACTCTGAATTAGGAAAAACATTACTTAAAAACCAAACACATTTAAGTGCATATCTTTATTTCTAATTTGTTCATTTATAATATAAGTTTAATAAAGTGTTTCTCAGATACTGTGGTCAGTGTTAAGGCCAGTTGTGTAAGTGTTTGGTCGTTCAGCACTGCATCTGAGATCAGGCTTCAGCCGTCACTAGAAATAATAACACAATTGAAAAGAACATGAGCTCTATGTTCTTGAAGCCAATAGTTGAAAAGGAAATTATAAAGATAGTAAATAAATGTGATAACAAAACATCAAGTGATAGTGATGGTATCACCATGACAACTGTTAAATGGGTAATTAAAGAGATAGGCAAACCATTAACATACATTTTTAACGTCATTTCGACTTGGGCAGTTCCCTAACAATATGAAAATTGCAAAGGTTATCCCTCTGTATAAATCTGGTGATAAACACAACTTCACGAATTATAGGCCGGTTTCTCTGTTGTCACAATTTTCAAAAATTCTGGAAAAACTCTTCAATAACAGATTAGATACATTTATTGATAGACATAAAATCCTCTCTGATTGCCAGTATGGTTTTAGGTCGAACCGGTCGACATCTCTGGCCATTACCGACCTGATGGAGGACATTACAAGCGCTATGGATGAAAAGAAATACACGATAGGAATATTTATTGACCTAAAAAAGGCATTTGACACGATCAATCATGAATTATTAATGTGCAAGCTAGAAAAATACGGGAAAAATAGAGTGTCTTTGAATTGGATTAGTAGTTATTTGACAGAGAGGCGCCAATTTGTGAAGTTGGGTGAACATCAGTCGAGTGATCTGGAAATTGTATGTGGGGTGCATCAAGGTTCAGTCTTGGGACCTAAATTATTCATATTATACATTAACAATATGTGCAAGGTTTCGGCTTTAGTGAAAATGGTCTTATTTGCTGATGACACTACGATATGGGCATCCGGGGATAACCTACAGCAACTATCGGGACAGGTTTCACAGGAACTTGAGAAGATAAAGAAATGGTGTGATAGTAATATGCTATCTATGAATATGGATAAAACTAGATTCATGGTATTTGGGAATCGTAGACTAGATAACGAACTGCAAGTGAAAATAGGGGGAGCCAGTATAGAACGAGTATATGAAATTAAATTTCTAGGTGTCATAGTGGATGATAGATTCACCTGGAAATCTCATGTCAGATATATTCAGCATAAAATAGCAAAAAACATATCGATATTGGCGAGGGTCAGATATATAAGCACTACGTATTTTGTATTCTTCATTGATTTTACCATACTTGGAGTATGGTGTTGAAAACTGGGGAAACACATACATAAGCTCACTTCAACCATTGTATATATTACAAAAAAGAGCGATAAGTGTTGTGTATAGGCTGGGATACAGGGATCACACCAATGGAGCTTTCATACAGTCTAAATTGTTAAATTTTTTTGATTTAGTGGGATATAAGACTGCAGTGTTTATGTATAAAGCCAGGAACAATTTATTACCTGGTGGAATTCAAAAACTATTTGATGAAAGGGAAGGGGGATACAATCTAAGGGGTCAGTTAAATTTAAGAATTCATGCTATACGCACCACCAAAAAAAGATTCTGTATTTCAATAAGTGGAGTAAAACTATGGAATAATTTAAATATGGACATAAAAAACAGTAAGAAAATTGATGAGTTTAAACACAGATATAAAGGTATGTGTCAATCAAGATATGGGCAAGAACAGGCTTAATGATAATCAGATGGGAGTGTGGATGTAGAATATGTATCCATGTAGTAATACTGCTTGCAAACCAATGATGATAAGATGATGTCATGGGGTAGGACTGGATAAGTCTGACTTCTTCCTACTCCGTTCAAGCATGTACTACGTATAAGCAATTTGAAATGATTTTTTTTTTTTGGATATGTCTGGAATTATGTGTGATTACATACTGACTGTTGTTACATGTTTGAAAGAATCAATAGAAAGAAAGACTCAGGGCAGACGAAGGGACTTGGGTGCACACATGGAGCTAGTAAGTCTGATACCAACATAACCTGAAAGGCTGCTCAGCAAGGAAGATGCCACTGCTCCAAGACTACCATAAAAAGACTATGGTTTGCAGCTGCACATAGAAACAGAGATCTGACTTTTTGAAGAAATGTCCTCTGGACTAGTGAAACAAAAATTGAACTGCGTGGCCATAATGACCATTGTTATGTCTAGAGGCAAAAGGGAGAGGCTTGTAAGCCAAAGAACACCATCCTAACCATGAAGCATGAGGGTGGCAGCATCATGTTGTAGGGCTGCTTTGCTGCAGGAGGGACTGGGCCACTTCACAAAACAGATGGCATCATGAGGAAGGACGGTTATGTGGCTATACTGAAATGTTAGGAGCTGTGAAAATCTGAGATTAAATGTATTTGAAATAAAAAACTGAATAATTGGGCGTGCAAAATTATTCAGCCCCTTTACTTTCAGTGCAGCAAACTCTCTCCAGAAGTTCAGTGAGGATCTCTGAATGATCCAATGTTGACCTAAATGACTAATGATGATAAATAGAATCCACCTGTGTGTAATCAAGTCTCCGTATAAATGCACCTGCACTGTGATAGTCTCAGAGGTCTGTTTAAAGCGCAGAGAGCATCATGAAGAACAAGGAACACACCAGGCAGGTCCGAGATACTGTTGTGGAGAAGTTTAAAGCCGGATTTGGATACAAAAAGATTTCCCAAGCTTTAAACATCCCAAGGAGCACTGTGCAAGCGATAATATTGAAATGGAAGGAGTATCAGACCACTGCAAATCTACCAAGACCTGGCCGTCCCTCTAAACTTTCAGCTCATACAAGGAGAAGACTGATCAGAGATGCAGCCAAGAGGCCCATGATCACTCTGGATGAACTGCAGAGATCTACAGCTGAGGTGGGAGACTCTGTCCATAGGACAACAATCAGTCGTATACTGCACAAATCTGGCCTTTATGGAAGAGTGGCAAGAAGAAAGCCATTTCTTAAAGATATCCATAAAAAGTGTTGTTTAAAGTTTGCCACAAGCCACCTGGGAGACACACCAAACATGTGGAAGAAGGTGCTCTGGTCAGATGAAACCAAAATCGAACTTTTTGGCAACAATGCAAAACGTTATGTTTGGCGTAAAAGCAACACAGCTCATCACCCTGAACACACCATCCCCATTGTCAAACATGGTGGTGGCAGCATCATGTTTTGGGCCTGCTTTTCTTCAGCAGGGACAGGGAAGATGGTTAAACTTGATGGGAAGATGGATGGAGCCAAATACAGGACCATTCTGGAAGGAAACCTGATGGAGTCTGCAAAAGACCTGAGACTAGGATGGCGATTTGTCTTCCAACAAGACAATGATCCAAAACATAAAGCAAAATCTACAATGGAATGGTTCACAAATAAACATATCTAGGTGTTAGAATGGCCAAGTCAAAGTCCAGACCTGAATCCAATCGAGAATCTGTGGAAAGAACTGACAACTGCTGTTCACAAACGCTCTCCATCCAACCTCACTGAGCTCGAGCTGTTTTGCAAGGAGGCATGGGCAAAAATTTCAGTCTCTCGATGTGCAAAACTGATAGAGACATACCCCAAGTGACTTACAGCTGTAATCGCAGCAAAAGGTGGCGCTACAACGTATTAACTTAAGGGGGTTGAATAATTTTGCACGCCCAATTTTTCAGTTTTTTATTTGTTAAAAAAGTTTGAAATATCCAATAAATTTCGTTCCACTTCATGATTGTGTCCCACTTGTTGTTGATTCTTCACAAAAAATTACAGTTTTATATCTTTATGTTTGAAGCCTGAAATGTGGCAAAAGGTCGCAAAGTTCAAGGGGGCCGAATACTTTCGCAAGGCACTGTATATGCAAACCTCTGAGAACTCTACGCTCAGCTGACAGCACACCCGAAAGTGCCATGTACGGCCCCAGTGCGCTGATCCAGCTCAGATAACTCTAGGCCAGCCTGTCTTCCTCCACTGGTCAGCGTCTCTCTTCCATGTTTGTTTTGAGACCATCTGTTTAATTCATCAGTTTGTGCTGTTCTCCTGATAGTGTTCACTAAATGAGTAAAAGCATCCTAGTCATCCTTTTTATTTTATTTCATACCCATTGCTGAAG